CAAATGTAGTACCCCGATGTACCGATCTTGGGCTGCCATGGTGACTCGAGGTCTGCCTGTACGGGGACGGTCATTTGTGATACCTGTTTGGTTGTAACGAGCTGCAAGCCGTGATATCGTGCTCAGACTAACATTCAGACGCCTGGCAACAGAAGATTGGTAATCTCCAGCGTGCATTCTTTCAATGGCGATGTTCCGTGTAGCAGCGTAAAGACGTGGCGCAGTGATTTGACCTTGAAACTCCTTCAAAACGAATGCCGATTTCCGAAAGTAATCTGGATTTTTATAACCAGACAGTGCATGCTCTTAGTTGCACAATTTCAACTGGAAGGTGATTTTTGTTGCGTTGTGGCAATGCCTTTTTAATCCATGTAAGAAATCTCACCAAAATCAACATTTTCAGGTTAAGTCGTTTTTTGTACTTGTGCAATTGTGTGAAATCATGTTATCAACACTTTTGTTACATATTTTGACGATTGTTTGAACACAATAGGTAGTATTAATAGATTTTAAAAAATACAAAACGAATATGCGTTTCTTTTTGGGGATAGTATATATACTATATATATACTATATACTACTAGAATAAAGTAACTGCATTATTTGAATTTATGCCATTTTTTATGGTGGTGTTTTCCTTAATGACTGTTTAACTGATGACTGGATAATGTCGAAATCTGTATGATTTGACACTCGGCATCGTACGTGGCACGCCCTTGAAGACATGTGGTGTTAAAAGTCAGTTCGCAAATTCAGTATCGTGTGTGACCACCATTGGCGTGGTTGAAGACGATTAAAGAAAGCTTGGGGAATGTTGTTCCATGTCTGAATCAACGCTAGCTTGGGCTTGACGTTAACGTCGATCCATTTCATCCCAGTCGTGCTCGATAGGTGACAGGTCCGGAGAAACAGATGGCTAAGGAATGTTCTGTTGTCTCGGGAAATCTGTCACAACACGAACGACAAATGGGCGGGTATTATCTTGCTGAAGCGTGAAGTTACGTCTCTATCCTTGAATGAACGGCTGCACACGATGCCCAATGATCTCATCGCAAACCTGTCAGATTGCCATTGACAATGACAAGCTGTGTCCGACCATGAGATGTGATGCTCCCCCATACCATAACGCTCTCGCTACGAAACTGCCGATGTTGAACAACGCACGCATCAGTTTACCGTTCACCTCGACGTATGTACGCCCTTGCCCTGCCATCTGAGCTGTCCCGATGAAATCTCGACTCGTCAGTCAACAAAACACCACCCTAATCCTGTCTCCTGTACCGTAGATGCTGTGTGCACCAGGCAAGACGTGCCTATCGGTGACGTTGGGGCAAAACTGGACGTATTGCAGGCCGTTGGGGCCGGATGTTGTGCTCCCTCAGTCGGTTCCGTACAGTCCTGGAACTGATTGGACGTACGCCATGGATGGTCCGAGCAGTCAAACTGGCAGTCTGGAATCGATTCCGTGGATGGTTGTCTTGCTGACGCCACGCGTACAGACGGCCGGTCAGAGGCAGATCTCCCGATTGTGTTCCTATTAAGTTGAAAACGTCTCCATAGAGATGAAATTGTGTTTCGATGGACACCAAAAGGTCTGGTCACTTCATTTTGGGCCACTCCAAGCGTACCCACGGCTCGGAGACGCTGATCTTCTGTAAGGAGTGACATGACTCGCGCAGTTTAGGTTGAAATTAACGTGTTTTCCACAACATTCAGATGCTAGAGAATAATCAACCGTTTTTAATTTTCAATATCAGGTGTGTCAGCTTCAGGTGGCAAAAAGCATGCAAAATCGTGAGTAAGTTCTGTCTGCGTGTTTGTATGATTCTCACTTGATATAACGACGAGTCAAACACGTCTTTTCAATGAATAAATAGCTTTTTATTAGCAGAATGAACCAATGATGATGATTTGGAGATTGAACGTGTCCTTTTTCTGGCATAATGCGCATTCCGCTCAGGAAGCAATATGGATCTCATCGTATTGATAGGCGTAAGAAAACGGTCACGTGTTTGTTTTAGACCAATCACATTACGAGATATTACGTACTGTTATGGGTTTTTTTTCCTTTGAGGGATCTATTTTCACAACATAAAATCACTGAAAAAAAGAGGAAGGCAATCGCGCCAAGATGTTAATTATTATGAAAATGACTAAACAATGGCTGCTTTCACCAATCAGTTAATTACGTCTGATTCGCAAATTGCCTTCCAACATCACAAGACAAACAACTGGGTCTTGCTACGCCCAGCTACGTCCGGTTTTTGAAGAACGTTCTCACAATTAGAGTTGCTAAATGTCGCGTATTAATAAAACAGCGAGGATTAGATAGTTCCTGTTGTCAGAAGTGCCAGCTGATTGTGATTGGAGTTACTTGGACTAAAACTTAGTCCCTGAATATATAAAAAATTATTGTAACAAATAAACACATTAAACTGAAAAGGAACCCCAGGGAGACCAGAGGAAACCTAGACTTACTTCATTTATAGGGCTTTAGCATTGCAGGGAGGGCTACGCTACATAGGGAAAATAATATGGTTCAGGGACTGTGAGACAGACCAGGAGTTAATTACCGTTAATTTATATCTGATGATAAATCGGTTGGCCTCGTGTGATGTCACGTCAACAGGACAACCATATTCGGTTGTTGCATCGCGTATATCAACGCAAGCAGTGGTCACACCTGATGCTGACATTGTCTATCTCGATGTCTCCTGTTAGTGGTATGGGTTTTGTTAATTCGGATAAAACATTGCTCAGACAATTGACCGCAACTGACATCTTCACCACTTTGTTTGAAGCGCAATACTTCAGCTATTTTACCGCGATATGATAATAATCACGCTTGCACCTATCCACGCAAATGTGGTACCATGACACGATATCAACTAAGCTAGATTTCCAACTGGGTATTCTATAACAGCTAATATTTAAAACCTGCATCCACTAATCCAGAGGTTGATTATATTTCAGAAAGATATATCTGTACTGTACAACGGCCTGTTGCCTTCATTCGGCAATACACTGAACATCATAATCGAACGAAGCATATATATCGTTGAAACAATGAAGAAATAATGATTTGCACTCGGAATTTTAGTGACTATGAAACATACTGGTGTTACAGGTATATTAATGTATAGTTTAACTGTGAGCGGCCGATGATGTTTTCAGAGCAGACCTTCGAAATGTAATCGAACATGTTTTCAGAAATGTTCCTCACAACTCAAACTCGGTCTTTTAAATATCTTTGGGATTTGTGTGCCTGCAAATGACCAATATTTCAAACCAGTACGGGCGGGACATTGTGCCTCCATGGCTTGTGGACATACTGATGCAAGGTTGAATGGCATGGACTTGGAATGGCGAACTGTGGAACTATATTCGACTACGAGGGCCATTTTCAGTTATATTCTGGTTATCAACCTTTGTAGTCCGGAATCGCCCACTGGGGAAAACATGATTGGTGCCAGTGCAACCACAGTGCACATGATAAGTCCACAAGTCTCGTTTCCAATATCAATGGCACCCAAGTTCAGGGTAAGTTATTAGTGCGATCAATTCATACAACAATTTCATCTGAGTCCGTCCAATGTGACCTCATCAGTGTGGGCGGAGAGTAACGTGTCTCACGGGCACGATGAAGAGGGCGGCATCAAGTGATGTTAGATGCAAATGTGAGTCTTCATATTATGATATCCTCCAAAAGACAAGATTGTTTTGAATTGTCCTGTTTCTTTCAAAGAAAATAAACGGGTTACACAAAGAACATGTACTGGTTCAAGGGGCACGGCCCCTTCCAAACATTGTCTTCATCCCTTGGAACAACATGTAACTGGCAACCAGTACTAAGGAATCACTCTTGATTATTAAGATATATGTGGCTATGCTTCGTAGGATTCGAACTTAAAAGAAGCCGGGTAGATAGATAAGTGCTGAAAGTTATCTTGTTATCCTGTATCTGATGCGTCTCCGTACGTGCATGTAGTGCGGCTGTTTGACGCATATTGCATGCATGCTCGTCTGTGCTTAAAGTACACATATAGCCGCAACATATTGAATTTATATACTTATGGTAACTATTTTCGGCTATGACAAACATAATTCTTAAAATTTCCTGCCCGTATACACCTTCACGTTTAGAAGGAAAATCGGAATGAGAAATAATCAATTTATTGCGATGTAAACTAAAACTAAAAACTAAACTAAACTAAACTACTCCACCCACCCCATCCCCCAGAATACACATCAACATCTATTCGTCACGATTGAAGTAATTATTAGGTGGCTTTGTTTTGTTCACATTGCAAGTGTTGCTGTGTTGTTGCACACGCGTGTGTCTATGTTTCCTGTGCGAGGTTCAGTACCGTGTGATAACGGGGATGTATTGACCGACGTGGGACGCGGTTCTCACCCCGACACCACAACTGCCGAGGTTATAATTTCTTGATTCTGTGTAACTGACGTCATATCAACTGTGTAAACTCACTGATTATTGGTGAAACATCCTTCTGGCTGGTCTGAGATGATAAACCATATCGCGTTAAACTAAATAGCTGACATATGCAACGGCGTATAACGCTGTGTTTTCTCTCAGTGCGTAACTCTTATTAAGTACGTAAGCAGTTAATTGCTCTTCAACAGCGAAAGGGCAAAAGGCGCTCAGACATTTCACAGGTGTCGGTAATGTACCAGCAACCAAATCTCCAACTATCACTAGCATCTGTTACCATATAGTTACAAAACCAGCTATATTCCTAAGAAGTACTGCGTTCCTCCCATTAGCGAGGGGTTAATATACAACCACCGCAGCTTCATCAAGGGTAATGTGCCACGGTAGATAATCTTTATCTATCATGTTATATTACGCGTGACGTACATTGGGAAATGTTTACGAACACTTCACATGTGCTGGCCCTGAAATTATCAAACACTCAGGATTTACCAATAAACAAATCCCATCGCAATTACGCAATACCATGGGAACAAAAACACAATATTACATGGGAGCGATGGTGTATTAGACTGCGGAAACTGCTCTCTGTCCAGGGAAGTGCTTCAGCTGCCTGCAGCCTCTCCCCTAGATACATCCAGCGTGTACTCGCGCGTGCGTCTGACCCCTGACCCCGGCTACTACACCAGCTATCCCACGGCTCGTGTATAAAAGCAAGGGTTTACCCAACAGTAACAACGAAAAACAATCTAGTCTGGAGCGCTCACATCCCTGTGATCCCAAAATGATACTAGGTGTCCTCGCAGTGTGGGGAATATGCCTGTTCCAAGTAAGTAATCTTTGTTGATTCTTATATCCAAGAATACATTAATGCGACCGTAGAGGCACTGTAGCGGACTTTGTTATCAAGGTTTATATTGCATGGTCTTGGTACTACTAGTATTTACAATACATGTAGTTGGGATGCATGTCGGCGCATGGTAATGTTTAACGGACAATTTGTGTTTAATATGGCTGAACTAAGACTGTATTTGGACTAGTAATAAACAATTCGACTTAAATTATTTGTCCCCGTAATTTGGATTTGTCTTTGAAAACAAATCTTATATATTGAGGTATCGCAGTTAAATACATTGATTACAGACTGGGCTTTGTAACATGACAGTCATTAGACGATATCGTACATCCTTAGTATATAGAGAGGGTACAAAACGACCTTCCGTGTAATACCATTTTTATTAAACGAGTTAAATTAATGCCAAAATCTTTCACGAGTTTCATTAAAATGGTATATCACAGAATCGAGTTTAGGATTCTGTGTATTACTCTCCAAAATACATTGATTGAAACTGCCTACAGTAGGACTCTCATCTTTCCGCGAGTCAGGCAAAGTCTACTAATACCATTTTGACAGATGTATTAGAATTGTAACGGAATAACTGTAAACCGTTATGACGTCATGCGTCTAGTGCTATTACACTAGTGTAATATTGAATTAAAAATATTACATAGAGGATATTATAAGAGTGCCCATGTCATACTATGTTTAGGACACGAGTGCCTAAATGTCTCCCGAGCGAGAACGAGGGATATACCGATATTTAGGCACGAGTGTCTTAAACATAGCATGATATGGGCACGAATATAATGTTCTATTTATTACCGAAGTCGTCAAATTGAGGAAGAATCTACTTTCAAAGCTGGCTACCCACCGTCGCCGCATGTAGAACGCAACGTCATAGAAGAAACGTGACGCCATAGCATTGTCGTAGGTAGTAACTAGAGATTATTACACGAGCAAGTGTGTCATACCACTCATACGAAACGAGTGTGAAATTTTGTATTGATGAAAAAGAATTAACGGAGTTGTCTCTCTTAAATGAAACCAAGCACTTGATAGCTGGTCAAGGTTGTTTATACTAGAAATCCAATTAAACATATTCCTAAAATTCTCAATAATTTCTGGTCATACTATATGTGAGCGTTACTCAACAATAAGAACTATGTACTGAAGAATATATCAATTCCCACACTGCAACATCTTTCATCGAAACGATGTCACCGAAATCTTGATGCTGTATATAGAGATTATTACACGAGCAAGTGTGTCAAACGACTTTTACGAATGTGAAATTTTGTATTTCCCGAGCGAGAGCGAGACAATGCATAATTTCGTAAAAGTCGTGAGGCACACTTGCGAGTGTAATCATTTCTTTATTATCCATTTTATTCATGAACATTTGTGCAGTAAAATACGGTAAGCAAGTGTGACTGCCCTGTTCACTGACGTCACGTTCAATTGTTTAAGTGACGTCACAGACGACGAAATGGAGAAACAATGGTTTCTAGGCAAAAGTGATATGTGCACATGTGATATATATGACACTGGTTATGTTTCACCATATGGATAATAAATTGCTTTATCTTCCACGGACGAGTAATAATCATTACTTATCCTCTGCATTGAAGACCATTGTGACGTCATTGTTATAATGGCGCCACAATCCAATGAAATCACTTATCACACTGCCTCTCTCGGGTGTATTGGTCTCACACAAGACATTGCTGTTTAAAAACTGAAAACCTAAAATCTCACTCTCGTCTCTTTAGGCATTAGTTGCTATATAACGACAAGTGCTTGAGATTACATATCAGGTTAGTGTTATAGTTTTAATGGCATTTTCATACTTCATACTGCTAGGGCATTGAATGTCTTAATTATATTGTCAGTGGTCGTATAAACACAACTTTGCCGTACAATGTACACTTCTACTACCAAGTTAAAGCGACCTCTGTAGTAATGAAGATGTTAGTGTCTAAGAAGTTTCTGGCAGGCCGCCTTTCCTCCGATAATCTCGACCCTTTCTTAGCTGGTCGTGCTCATCTATCTAGACAACGGCAAGATCGGAGGACCTCCAGACAAGATATTTATTGCTACGCAGAAATTACCGACACTGAAGACAATAGGTATTTCGCCAGCTAACAAAAAATCGTGTCAAGTTGTTTGAAAAGAAGTGTTCGGGGAACACTGGTGCTATACCCATACCTCACTGCGTGGGCGATAATATCCATTCTTTAGATCTTAATACACTTTGCGAACACGCACCTCTCCAGGGAAATCTCTGGTCACAAACTCTGACGTTTATCTGGTAGAATGGTAACTGCTTCTGTCTAAGTGTAAGATCGGCATTGACGTATGGGGGAGAGTATGTCCCCCTGGGATGGAGCGTCCAAGTGGATGAGTCAGTATTATCTGACAGCGGATATACACAGAGCACCCCGTATCACATACAAGTACTCGTGCCCCCATGTTCTCTAGTGTAACGCAGACTAACTGACTTTCATTACTCATTACTGGCATCGCCATGTCTTGTTTCATCAATTCAATGGGCTTCGCTCAAATGAAGCCATGATTGATCAGAATCAAAGATTGACCTCTCTCTCTCTCTCTCTCTCTCTCTCTCTCTCTCTCTCTCTCTCTCTCTCTCTCTCTCTCTCTCTCTCTCTCTCTCTCTCTCTCTCTCTCTCTCTCCTCTCCCTCCTCCCTCCTCCCTCCCTCCCTCCCTCCCTCTCTCTCTCTCTCTCTCTCTCTCTCTCTCTCTCTCTCTCTCTCTCTCTCTCTCTCTCTCTCTCTCTCTCTCTCTCTCTCTCTCTCTCTCTCTCTCTCTCTCTCTCTCTCTCTCTCTCTGGTTAACATGGGTGCCTCACTTCATTTATATCCATCTATTACACTTGTGAACGGGGTATAATGTGCCGCCATTCGAAGTGCAGAGTTACGTCCCCGGGAAACGCCAGAAACCAGTGATCGCCCCCGATTTGTTTGTATGTTTGTCAGCTTCCTAGCTGTGCTCGTGGTTTCCATCAACATGTGTTAAGACGTGCATCACTTTGGGTTTTCCCCAACATAAAGTAGACACGACATCATGTAAATGGAATACTGTCAAAAGGGGTGCTAGACGAAGATCACTCACTGCATTGTTCACACATTCGTCGTGATCATCTCTGTATGTTTCATGTGTGGTAAATCCACATTCTACATTCCCTGGCGACGGTGGGAGACACGTTAACCTATTCTGCTAATGGAGCCAGTTTGTTAGCATCTAAACGAGTGGTGATCACCACAATAGTAAAAAAGACACCATTTCTATATTCTAAGCAGAACAAGGCCCCAGTCTTGGATGATAATTTGTAGCCAGATGGTGTCATCGTCTCTTGGACTCTTATCATGTTTCCTCTATCTTTTTTGGGAGATCATATGTTTGTAAATAAGATGACTCTGTGATTTCTGGGACTAAATATCCGTGTATCGTGGTTTCATCAATGCATACTAGTGGTCCCATCAGCTAGACAGCTAGCACGGTCAGTTGGTCAAAGCCGAGTATTCCCGAGGTCACTCACAGTTGTATCATGCATAGTGGTTTCCACGATACACTTCTGTCACACACACACACACACACACACACACACACACACACACACACACACACACACACACACACGCACACGCACACACACGCACGCACGCACGCACACACACACACACACACACACGCACACTTATTCCAAATCAAGATTACAACTGATGTTATCTGCGTGGCATACATATAATGGACATCTTATGTTAAATTAAAGATTCTCAACGACCACCGCTCCTGTATTTGACAATTGGTACCACACACCATTATTTGGACCGGAAACCACCCCAAGTCAACCGGAACTTGCAATAGGACAAGACGGTAGTTGACCTACATAACGTCCCTCTGATCAAAGGTTTTCTCTTGTCCTGAGTGGCTCATCTCACGAGAACGTTACTCAGCAGCAAGTCAGGATGTGGGACATGGTGTCTCAAGTAGCCAGTGACTGGTTCATGTACATGCCTCATGGCCAAACGAGAACATTACACAGACATGTAGACATGTATCGATGGCCGTGATGTAATACAAACACTCCTGCTACGAGCTTTATATCATATTATTTCCTCCTAAAATCACGCTTCCATGAATTAATATTGTATTATATTGTAAACTGCGTTGGGGTATGAAGCAGGCACATTCTTAAAACACCTCAATTATTCCACAAGGATTAAAAGAAATGTGTTATACATTGCTTGTAAGAAAACGTTTTAGAAGTATTTTCTGACGACTATGCCACTGGTGTTACATTTCAAATATGTGAATACATGATGTTTCTCTGAGTGAGAACGGAAGACGTTTTCTTGCATGTTTGTGTGCAGTGTCATCACTTGCTGTTCGGCGGAGTTAACAATCAATACATGGAACAATGAAAGTTTCCCAGACCCGACAACGTCAAGTTATTCACAAATCAAAACTATAAAGTACATATAGATCGATATTCCGATCGAAATTTACATAGCGGTAAAGCAAAATGAACACGTGGAAACTATGCTACAATACAGATGCTTGATGTTGTATCAAAGGTTTATTGAACATTTAGGAGCTCTGTTATTTCCCCAACATAAACAGGTGCTGAAGTATAAACATTTGGATTTGTCCTTCACAATTAATTTGTCAAACAAGATCCAACATTGAGCAGCTAGCTAGGGCGGCACATCACCGCCCTAGTCTGTCCCACAGTCCCTCAACCACACTATTTCCCCTACTGCCAAGCCCTCTCTGCAGTGCTAAAGCCCTAAATAAAGCAAGTCTAGATTTCCTCAGGTTCTGAATCTCTGGTCTCCCTGGGACTCCTTTTCAATTTAAATGGGCTTGTTTGTTACTATCAAAATTATATATATACAGAGACTAAGCATTAGTCTAATCACCGCCCCCGCAGATTGTAATATATCTCCAACATCGGAGAGGTCCTGGCATTGGTGTGTGTAGTCTTATTGGATTATCTCCCAGCAGTCACTACTAGACGCAGACAATCTACTTTAACATGTGTCTCTGGGGTGCCCTGTTCGAGAACAATGTCCCTCGTGGCCGCACCTCATCTTCAGCGTGTCGACTTTTGTTTTATGTGTTTAAATGGCATTTCTGGGCCAGCTGAAAACTGGCGAAGGTGTTTTAGAGTACTACCATGATGTTTGCAGTGACTGGCAAATGATGCTGTGTTTCACATGTTCAGGGGACGCTGCAGATGAACTACCATCAGGCTATGCGGCTGTCCAGGGTCACGAACATCACAGAGCTGTTTCGGACAGTCGACATGAAGATGAATGGGCGCAGAGTCGAACTGGAGGAAGGTATGTTTCGTATTTCAGATAATTTAAGAATATTTATAGGAATTTAAACCTGTTCCATAAATTCATCTGTCGCATGTAAGTTTGCCATCTGATATCTCTTTAATATACTGTTGTTCATGTTTCAGTATTGCCAAACATAGGAAGTTCGGATGGCCGGGTGTACGTATCTGCTGGTATGTTTTGTTTGTTTGTTCGTTTAATGCTGCACTAATTACAGCCATATGATGGCGTCTGTATACATCGAGTCTAGACCAGACAATGCAGTGATTTATATCATGAGTGTCGATCTACGCAATTGGGATTCGATGACATGCATCAGCTAAGTCAGCGAGCCGGACCACCCGACCCCGTTACGACAGGCATGGGTTGCTGAAGACGAATTCTAAACCGGATCTCCTCGAGTCCGTACGCCAAGTCGGGAATCATTACGTATTATATTAAACAACAGCCAGTCAAGGCCGAACAACCAAACATCTTCATATTTTCCATACTTGTGTTTGTACGTAAGTCTGGCACTATACAGGGAACGTTCAATCAATGAGAGAAACCCATTCACAGAAATACCCCAACAATGTCCCCCACTTTCTACGACCCATGTGTTGTTCCAGGAGCAGCGGAGTTCGCCTTCCCTGACGAGTGTTCCCCACGTCTCATGACCGTGGATATCCCCAGGGACCCGACCCACGACGTCAACGTGATGACGTGGCCTACGTGTACACGTGTTAGACGCTGCGGAGGTTGTTGTGCTAACAACATGCTGCATTGTGTACCCCTTGTTATCAGGCCCAAACGAATCACGGTCAGTGTGTACCAGTGTGTTATCAGGCCCAAACGAATCACGGTCAGTGTGTACCAGTTTGAGAACGTGTATATCCCATCCATCAATCCATGAGTCTACCCATCTATCCCACCCTCCATCCACCCACCAATCCATCATTCCATGAGTCTACCTATCCAACCATCCATACACCCACCTACCCCTCCATCCACCCACCCATCAATCCATGAGTCTACCCATCCACCCACCCTCTATCCACCCCTCCATGAGTCTACCCATCTATCCACCCCTCCATCCACCCACCCACCCATCAATCCATGAGTCTACCCATCCACCCACCCTCTATCCACCCCTCCATGAGTCTACCCATCTATCCACCTCTCCATCCATCAATCCATGAGTCTACCCATCCACCCGTCCATCCAACCATCCATACACCCACCCACTCCTCCATACATCCATGTACAAGAGTTCAACTGTTACAGGGTCTCATGCTGATACGCAACGAAGCCGCAAAACTTCAGTTTCATACAGCTTCAACTGTTACGTTGAATCGCTTAGACTAGCCAAACACCAAATGCGACATTAGTGAGTGAGTTTAGTTTTACGCCGCTTTTAGCAATATTCCAACAATATCACGGCGGTGAACACCAGAATGGGCTTCACACATTGTACCCATGTGGGGAATCGAACCCTTCGGCGTGAACGCCGAACCGAACGCTGTAACCACTAAGCTACCCCACCGCCAAATGTGAATCGAGTATGAGGTTGACCAGCCATCCTCCAGTTTCGGATGCTAGATGATTTCCAAATTGAAACTAAATTCAAAAATCAATAAATGACCAATGTCAAGGGTTTATCATTTATATTGAAACATACATTGAAAATAATAAGAACAGGCATTACAATGGGTCAAAAGGGAACATCAAGAAACTGGAGGTCCTGAAAATAATTCACAATTTTTCACCATCGACGGTCTCGATTCTTGAATATAGAATAGTAGTGGGACCTTGCAGGAATTCGGAAATCGCACTTGTCGTAGGTTGAAAATAAGGCTTCCAGTCATCCACTTGGTAGCATTATGACATCCCAAAACTAACCATCAGACCCCAACATCACAACCCATGTTACTAACGCTTCACGTGGTGGTTCCAGGTGTTGAAGACACTGCTGTACGACTCCAACCAGCCCGATCTTCTGATGGAATGGGACGGCACGCAGGAAGTTACAGTAGATGAACATCTGGAATGTGACGTGACATGCCGGCTGACCGCCGACGACTGTAACAAGAGACAGGTACCGCATGGTCCACTAGCCTGGTGTGTTAGTGTAGTCGTGTTCACACAGACACTTCCCCTTTCTACTGCAGTAGACATGCACAGTCAGTGAGTTTTGTTTTACGCCGCATTTAGCAATACACCAGCAATATCACGGCCTAACACATTGTACCCATGTGAGGAATCGAACTCGGGTCTTCTGCGTGAAGAGTGAACGCCTTAACCACTAGGCTACCCCATCGCCCAAACACACAGAGGCAAAAGTTACTAATCCCACAAAACGTTTTTCACCAAACAGGATTTCGACGCCTTTCCCAAACACACCATGGAAACTTTGGGCACTGTGATGCCCATTGAGATGATATAAATATTTAGGTGTTAATTTTACAAATCATTTTTCATGGTCCATGCATACAATTCAAGCCTCATTGCAAGGTAAAAAGATTTAATAGGCATTGTGAAATATATAAAAACACTTGGTGACTTATCATAAGACTCTTTTTTCAAGATCTTTGATGCTAAAATATATCCTATCCTTTTGTATGGCGCTGAGATCAAAGCGTCCGATGGATGCCATACAACAAATTCATTTATATGCTTGTAAGAAATATGTTGGGGTAAAAGTTACTACACGTAAGTCAGCAGTATATGGCGAGTGTGGTAGACTTCCCTTATATATTGCAGCAAATAGGAAAGGTGTTAAATAATGCTTAAACTTATTGAGTATGGCTCCAGGCAGATTACCGAAATAATGTCATGATATGATGATTATTTATGATAGAAATGGGAAATGGAATTGGGTCACAAACGTAAAGAATTATTATTTTCTATTGGATTTGGTAATTCATGGCAATGACAGCAAATAAAGCCTCACTCGTTATTTCTGCTATCTGTTAAACAACGACTTAAAGATATGTACATGCAAAACTGGAATGAAAACTTATCTCTTTCTAGCAAATGTTTTTACTATGAAATGATTAAACAATCTATCCACAAACAACAGTATCTGCCTGTGTTAAACGTAAGAACATTCAGAATAAGCCTTGCGCAATTAGCATCTCATGATTGTACGAATAGAATCTGGTAGGTATTTAGGCTTAATAAAAGAATATAGGATATGAAAATGTGTAATCTGAATGTAATTGGAGACGAGTACCATTTTCCGTGTATATGTCCAGCCTATTATATACTCATGCCAATAATGGTTGTCACCCCCTTCAAGTTTTTTAATTGGAGAGGGGGTGTGGGGTGTGTGTGTGAGGTGTGTGTGGGGTTGGGGTGGGGAGGGAGGTGACAACCATTATTGGCATGTGTATATGTTGAGAAATATGTATATTGAGAGCTACTACTATGTACATCCTGACATTTACAAATTCATATCCCTTTTAACCAATTCTAGTAAAGCACATTTAGAAAGATTATCTATGTATATTTATTACGCTACCACATACAGAAAAAAATACATTCTCAAATATTCTGGTAACTGATGACTTGTTATTCACTGTATTTGTACTACTCGCCTGTGGCCTCCAGAGTACGGAAATAAATACTGAAATATATTGAGATCCATTGTAGTTACCTTTTAAACTGCGATACATGGAGAAAAGGGGAAAGTTGCGCCATTTGCACGAAACTGACATGGCATAATTTGGATGCCTTTCAGTTCCAATTTTTGTAACAGAATCTTTAGAACGTTTATGCATTAGGATCTTATTAATCACTTATAGGTATTTCAACCTTAATAAAACGAAGTATTGACTACTGTACTTGTAAACAAACTCAAAATGATTCACATATTTATGCAGTTGAGTTAAAGTATAAATGTTTTTTGTTGGCAGCGGTTCGACTCCTTCGAATGTTCATGCACCTGCAGACGCCATCGTAGCTGCTACCCCTACCAACGATGGGACATAGAGACGTGCGAATGTGTGTGCATTGAACCAGAACGGCAGTGTGAGGCTGGCTTAACCTACAGCCCACAGACATGCAGGTGAGGATTTACTCATAACCCAGGAATACATGCAGCAGAGGGTTAACCTGTAGACAACGTATACATGACCTACAGACGATGTAAACATGGGGTTAACCTGTAGCCCACAAACATGCAGGTGAAGATTTACTCATAACCCAGGAATACATGCAGCAGAGGGTTAACCTGAGGACAACGTTATGGGGGTTAACCTGTAGCCCACAAACATGCAGATATTACATGATACATAGCAGAGGGTTAACCTGTAGACAACGTATACATGACCTATAGACGATGTAAACATGGGGTTAACCTATAGCCCACAAACATGCAGGTGAGGATTTACTCATAACCCAGGAATACATGCAGCAGAGGGTTAACCTGTAGACAACGTATACATGACCTATAGACGATGTAAACATGGGGTTAACCTGTAGCCCACAAACATGCAGGTGGGGATTTACTCATAACCCAGGAATACATGCAGCAGAGGGTTAATACATGCAGCAGAGGGTTAACCTGTAAACAGACAACGTAGCCCACAAACATGCATAGACGATGGAATACATGCAGCAGAGGGTTAACCTGTAGACAACGTATCCATGACCTATAGACGATGTAAAGATGGGGTTAACCTGTAGCCCACAAACATGCAGGTGGGGATTTACTGTAGACGTCTTATACATGTAGCAGAGGGTTAACCAGTAGACCATGTATACATGCAACGTGAGGTTAACCTGTAGACGATGTGTACATGCAACAGGGGGTTAACCTGTAGACTACATATACATGCAACAGGGGGCTAAAATGTAGACCATGTATACATGCAGCATGAGGTTAACCTGTAGACTATGTGTACAGGGGGTTAACCTGTAGACGAAGTATACATGCAACAGAGGGTTAACCTGTAGACCATGTATACATGCAGTTAACCTGTAGACCACGTATACATGCAGCATGAGGTATGTAGACTATGTGTACATAGGGATAACCTGTAGACCACGTATACATGCAACAGGGGGTTAACCTGTGGACCATGTATACATGCAACTTGAGGTTAACCTGTACACCACGTATGCACGGGGTTAACCTATAGACCACGTATACACGGGGTTAACCTGTAGACCACGTATACATGGGGTTAACCTGTAGACCATGTATACATGCAACATGAGGTTAACCTATAGACCACGTATGCACGGGGTTAACCTGTAGACTACGTATACATGGGATTAACCTGTAGACTATGTATACATGCAACATGGGGTTATCCTGTAGACATCGTGTACACGGAACACAGGGTTAACTTGTAGACTACGTATACGTGGAGCAGAGGGTTAACCAGTGAACCTCGTATACATGCAACATGAGGTTAACATGTAGACCACGTATACCATCAACAGAGGGTTAATCTGTAGACATCGTATACATATATGCATCTGAAGGTTAGGTGTTATATGCCTAGGAATGCTTGTGGCAAGTGTTGAGTCTCGATGAATCGCTAGCGGTAGGTCTTGGGCGGTGAGGAATGGCTAGCGTGGTGTGGGATTTTGTGGAATGGACAGCGACAAGAATTATCAGTGGTGCCAAGGAATGACCAATGGAAGGTGTTGATGCACGTTGCTATGCAGTAGTGTATTAAAACATCTTTATCAATTGCAGCTGCATCATCAACAGATTCCAGCAATATTCTAATCTTGAAACGGATGATGACAGTTCGGAAAATGCAAACCCTGTTAACACGACTCTGTTGACGAACGCCACATCATCAGCACCAACGACACCACCACCAACAACAACTACTACTACGATGGCTCCGACGACGGTCGATCCTTGCGCTACTCAGTTTTGTCCGCCCGGATTCCTACGGAACCCCAACGGGAACGGTGGATGTGTCTGCACACCAAACTTTACTTTCAACAGAAAATAATCTCCGATCTAGATGGTGACACGCCTGTTTTTCTTACTGTTAATAGAGGGGGAAACGAAGGGTATTGTACCAACATATGGATTAACGAAGCAGCCCTAAAATCGAGAACCATTGACATTGTGTTGCCATGACGTATTTTTGCGTGGGATGTTTTTCGTTCCATTATCGTATGATAAACGTACCAGCGTCAAGTTAAGCCACATTGATAAATCAAACAAGCTTTATCTGTCAGAGAGAAGTTGCGCACCGATACATCTCAGATTTAACGGGTACTAACGAGCCCTGATATTTGAACGCCCAAACTGAATGTACCTCTTTACAATGACAAGTTCCACCCTGCAAATATCAAAATATAAGACTTTAAGGGCTTTCTCAAATCAAGGGAGGTAATAAGCAGATAGGGCCAACCAACTCTGGCTGTTCTGAACTAAGGAAGAGATATCGAGCAGAAAATCCCGAAGGTATGCCACAATATTACGCGTGATTCAGCAACCGATAAACACACAAAAAACGTATTATGTAATCGGGTCACAAACATTGTAATATTATGTTTTATTCAAAATTCAAAGGCAGCTGGAATTTTAGTATTAGGTCCTGATTGTATCATGCGTTCATGGTTATCAAGAGCGGATTTCGGCGGTTGTTTATGAGCAGGAAGTGTTCTATGGTGCTGACAAACTGGCGACAAGTTTCCCTGAAACGCACATATTCTTTCGTTTATGTAACCTTGTTTACGTTTGACAAGACTGTTGTGGCATTGTTACTATACATTAAATTATCGTGTATTTTATATTCGACTTATTTTCTTCTTTATATGTGTATGTATTGGTGTTTTTAGTGCATGGATAAATATGCATTAACATTAAAACATGAATCAACCTCGTGTTTGTGTTCATCTGACGTAAAAGGTAGTTTCGGTCGAACCTTCAGCATCAGGCGAACATTTTGCCCGTTAATGTTAATGCGGATGGCTAGCGGTGTCAAGGCGCATTAATTTGGTAGAGGTGAGGTGTCGAAGGGCAATATTTGGTAGGTGGGGTGTCGAAGAGCATGATTGTGGTAGGTGGGGTGTCGAAGACCATTACTGTTCAGAAGTGAGGTGTCGAAGACCATGATTATGGTAGGTAAGGGGTGTCGATGAGCATGATTGTGGTAGGTGGGGTGTCGAAGACCATTATTGTTCAGAAGTGAGGTGTCGAAGACCATGATTGTGGTAGGATATCGGTAGGTGTTGGGCCTGAAGGATGGCTACCGGTAGGTGTTGGGTGTCAGGTAGGGCTAACAACAGGTGTGAGGGAGGGTTTTAGCAGTAGGTGTGGGGTGGTAGTGAAGACAAGCTTACGTGCGGGGTTTCGAGCAAAGACAACAGGTAGGTATGGGAGTGAGCCATGTGGTGATTTTTTGTGGCGGCTAATCTCGACTACTGCTCCCAGAATCCTATTGTGAACTCGTCCAGGTTGTCGACGACAGGATTAGTAGGGACCTTTTGAGCAACAGCTCCAATAACTTTCATTACATTACTGAAAGAACAAGCAGAATCACGAACCACCAACCAACGAAATGAATACAAAGTACTTTTTATCTGATAACTTGAGGCTTTAACTTTTATGAACACTTCTTTCACTACATGGGAGACAATTCTTACTTCCTCGACAACCTGAGAGCTGTACCTGTTACAGTCAGATTGTGAAATCAGTCATTTCGTGAAATGAATAAGATGTCGTTAGCCTTGTTATCACTCATCCACACTACCAGCATGTCTTTAATGTGGCCATTTGCCCTGTCAACTGATCCCTGCCTTTGGAGTTGACGTGGCTTAACATGTACTCCTGCTAGTTCTGGCCAGACGACTTGAATTTCTTTAATAACATGAGACGTGAACTCTGATCCATTATCAGATTGGAAGATCACTGGGGCACATTTATCAACGCTACTTGAGCAGCCCGTTTAAGTTGTCAGTGGTCGCAATAGGCAAAACTTCGTTAAGCGATGCTGATATACCAGTATCCAGCGAAATGGCTGATTTCACAATCTGACTGTAACATATCCAAACACCAGCAACTACAAATGCAAAATGCTAATCTGATGCACATACGTCAGTAGTCCGCCGCAGTGATATTGCAATATGCACAACAGGTAAACACTGCTGAGAAATTGATAACACATTCAAAGGGGTATAAAGCAATGTCTTTAAAAGTCATATATTGCTTTAGACATTCAGCTCCAATTTGTTAAGACTCTGGTATCTATAGAATCTTCAGAGGGGCAGAGCTTTTAAAACCAATTTTATTGGTTTCTTGTTATTAAGAATGCAAATATTTAGATGAGCAACCTCTCATATTTCTGCACTGCTTTTAACAAATACTAAAGCAAAATCAGTATTTGCATATTTTCCAAGTGACAACTACACTATTAACTAAGAATATATATATACTGACTGAATTATCCATTTAGTTTCCAGTTCAACAACTTGTACTGCTTAGACTTCCATTTGTACAATGGTGTGGTTCCTTAACCCAACAGAAGAGGAAGACACTGCATCAAATTTCTATAAAATTTAATTGTGGTAAAAAAATGGACTACATGAACATGTATCATTACATATTATGTACTTTGCATTCAACTGCTATAAGATCACATGTATTTACACAATGATTCTTTTAGTCATAACATAGGAAATAGAAACAATAACAATGCATGGTAGTGTTTGAAATTGAGGTCTTTCACCCAAGAATTAAGTTACGTAATTGAGATAATGGCAAGGAATGCTTGATTTTCAAACTTTATTTCAAACACTGCATATGCATTTATCTGCTGTCCCTTCATGGACTCCAAAAATTAATGTGAATACAAGACTTGTTCTCACATCATAAAACATGTTCATATGATAAATAATTGATGGTAATAAATAAAATCCAAACTCTCATACACCTTTACATTAAAAATAATTATTGCACCTTACGCATGTTAAGTCTTAACAACGCTATAAGCTTTCATGAATACTGAGATATACATAATCTATTTCATTTATCAATGAAATGTACAATACCGTATTAAAACAGATTTTTCCTTTAATGATGATTAGACTAAAAACTAAACAACATGGCTAGCAGTTTACTTGGGATGGGGGTATGAAGAAAAATATATTAAGTTTTCTGACTAGGTATTTCATAACCAATCACAATAAATAATTCCCCCCCTTCATCATGTAAATTGAATTAAATAAATCTTAAAGGGGATCTTCTTCCATGAAAATAACCTCAATAGAAAAATCAGAATCAATGACAGGTGATGACGCAAACGGGGACTCTTTAGCTTCACTTTCCCCAGAATAGGTAGAAAGATCATATTTACGATACTTCCTTACAGTTTTGGTGAATGTGGTGGATGTGCATCAGTGTTAAATTAACGAAGTCCATTAAATCAGTAGTGTAATAAAAGTCACAGATCATCATGATGGAACCCCCTAAACACTTTGTTAAATGAAAGATAATGAAGGGGACATCTTCCATTTCATTACTAACTGGTTAAAATGTACTGGACACTGACCATTAATAACTTTTAAAAAGTGGTCAGTTATAACATGTTACAATGACAGCATTCTCAGGACTATGGTAAAACAACAAAGCATAAAACAAGATGACATCTACAAATGTTACACAAAATGGGGTTGTAATGGGTGTTTTGTGTTCAGTATTAGGGTACATTGTTATGAAGTGTTTTTATCTCAGTTTTAACTGAACACCTTGAGGGTGGGTATTTCAATTTTATCACAGACAAGTAAATGAAATGATTCAATGTACAATGAATGATGATGTGAATGATGAGATTCATCATAGTCTAATAACGACTTGATTCATTGTGAAGTGAGTACCTTCTCATGGATCTCATGGACTATTGAACATTCCACAAGAAAAATCACTTTGAATAAAATTTGATCGGATCAGTTACGTTGAAACAATGACGAACAGGCTAATGGTCCAAGCTGACTCATTTCTTTACTCTGGATTTGATGATGTGATCTGAAACATCAAAAGGCAAATTAGTGAAATAAACCTTCTTTCATGCTCTTGTTGCTAACACTTAAGTAAGACACTGTGATCAAAACTAACATGACGTCATTCTATTTAAGAATGACGTCATTATATTTAAGACTGGGTAAAGGAAATTGAAAACTTTGAGAATGGACCATTACAAATCTGAATGTTACGTCTGTGTCAACAGATACCTATAACACCACAGAATAGATATTGGGGATCTCCTTGATTAACAAACACTGATGACACTTATGTTGAGAAATGTACACTGTCCTTGAAATGAATTCCAGTTCCAGTGCCGCATATTGAAAATACCCATATTCTTGTTTTACAACCATTGGTTCCATACAATGATTCTTTGTAAGGCAATGTTTGAATTCAAGAAAGGTACATGCTGTTAGGCTGAGGCGACTTAACTCAGGTCAGTAGCCAACAAAGGCATGAAATTCTACTAGCCCTCAAAATACCTTTTAGACTGGACAGGCTCTAGCTCGCTGTCCTATGTACTGACGGGAGACAGAGGAACAGTGCTTAAAAAGTCCCCAAGAGGTAAGATATTATTTTGTAATCCTCCTGCAATATTTTCACTTGCCCTCTTTAATTGTTTGAAGTTTTATGGTCTCAGGGATTAATGAGGATATTGCAGATTGGTTAAAAAAAAGTTCAGTTGCTTCAAAATTGGGTTTCGAAACCTGCTGGTCAAATGCACTTTCTGGTTATTTTTTCACTAGACACTACGCCATCTATTTATGACATAAGTAAAATGGATTTTGTTCTCATCAGTAGGAACATGCAAGTTCTAAAAAAAATTGGGGTTCAAAATTATCCATCATATTTTATTGAACATGATTAGACATAAATTGAAACAACTGAATTATGTACTCACCCCGTAGGATGACTATTTCTAAATTACTTTCTCACCCTGAGATGAATCTCCTGCCGATGATTAATGAGTGGATTTTGCAAGCAACATGGAAGAACTGACAATGTAGTTCTTCTTAAAAATAATTTCTTAAAGGTCACATGCAACCAAAAAAATCTAACATAATTAAAACACAATTATCACTTATTCATGACATATAATATACATTGCTGGTTATGAAAAAACATATAAACACAATTATAAGCGTACAATCGCAAATCAAAAGTGCAATATTTTGTACTTGGGTTTACTTCCCAAGAAACGAAGCAGCCGGGATACCAAACCCAGTCAGAGCGGGTGGGTGTGCACTCAAGTGTAACGGCTGGTTCATTTGCAGATGCCCTCTGTGTGCGTATATATAGAGATGTTGGGTTTTGTAAATACATGCTCATTTTTTTGTGTATAACATTTTGCAATCAACAGACATCATAACATGTCATGTATTCAAGTATCACACCTACCTGTCTGTGTAATTACATAATGTGACAGAGACCGAACTCGGGCCATAAATCAATGCATTTTGTTTATGGTGTATAGCCTGATTGGTGTTAAGTTCAAATTGCATGTTGTCAGTGATAGCAGCTGTGTATTGAATATTGTCATTAGCAGACAGGCAGGCAGACACACAGGTGTCAATAAAACAAGACATTGAGTTTTGTCTGTGACAACGACATATCTATATCACAGTTAGAAATTCTGTCAGCTAAATAATGACATTGCTTTTAAGTATCGAACTGAGAAAGTGACTTGGTAAGAAGAGCGTGTGGTGAAATAGACAAATGAAATTATATAAACTTTTTATTTACTGTCATAACATATAAAAAGCTCGCGCCTGTGAGATATCAACAAAACATTAGAAAAATAGCTCACACCAAAGCCTTCACCGAGTATTCACCGGACAACCCGCTTCCAAGCTGCGTGAACCTATTTCTATGCGCATATGAGCGCAGCACGTGCTATGAGATGCTGTTGAAACCCGTTTTCCCCAGAAAAGTCGGGGGAAAATAAGTGAAACGTTTGAACTCTGATTTCGCGCATTTTTTTCATCCCGTTATTTTTCAACTTTATAAGTTGAATTTGCATTTTTGACGATTTGTTTCTGTAAGTCCATACCGAAAGGTATCAGAATCTGCAAAGTTGTGTTTTACGTTGCATGTGACCTTTAAAGAATATTTATGTTTGTTACCTGTCTAGTAGGAACTGATTTCAGTAATGGATGGAAGTTCACTTTCTCCTTCTGAGCTTGGTCGTGAGCGAATTTTCAGGAATGGGAAGAAAACTGATGGACGGCTTGATTGACTAGCTTGGAGTCCACTCTCCTTTAAACTTTGGCCAAGGAGATCTTTGCATTCAAATAACTCAGAATCTTGGATCTGTTACAACATAGATTGAACATAATTTACTGGAAGATGTTCAGTCATGTAATTAAAAATGAACGAGTTTTGACATGAAATAGTACTGGTTATTAGTCCTTAACAAAATATTATTAAATTTAAGCTTGTCAACACATGTTAAAAATATATAGCAACCACAAGAACATGGTTATAAAACTATCTAACTGTGAGAAATCTTTTAAACTGACTTTGCAATTATCTATGTCAAGAAATAGAACTTCAAACTTAAAACACTTGTACCATAAACCTTGAGTTTTGGTAACAATTCATTAAGTTCAGAAAGTACACTAATGCAAGGACACAGACCCAGGGCCTTATATGACCACAGGATGAAAGCAAAGCCTTCATAGGTTTACTGTGATAATATAACTGCACCTGTTACAAATCATTAGGATCTGTGTTTTTTTCTTGTTTATTGATATTTCTGTTTCTGTTACACTTGGAATAACAAAACACTAGAACTGAACAAAATCATTTCCTGTCCCATTTCATTTGATATATATAGCTATAAATCAAAACTTAAGCTTTTATTTCAATAGCATATATAATTTCATATGTATGTGTATGGAATAACATTTGATAAAAGGACATTACTTACATCACATATTAACTGTAGATGTATCAAAATGAGTCTAGTATCAGCAGCAATATCGCCTTGTTTCTCCAGTATGTGACAAAGTATACAAAAGGCAAGTGTTGGTGCCTGTGAATACAAATATTTGGGTTAAGCAAACTTGGAAATAAATATTTCGCCCTAATGTCCTATACAACGCACGGTATATGTGATGAAGTGAAACATGTGTTCTCTTCATTTGGTCAGATGTAGGATTAACTAATCACTTTGTCATGTAAACACAAAATGCTTCATTTCAAATTAAACAAGATTTAACACCTATTTCAGCAAGGTTTGTTGAAAATCCATCTTTTTATGTGTTTTGGTACTCATTTTGTTATAAAATATATGTATATTATAATATCAATATTGTACCCAGTATGTGATATCCTAGCATGATTTTAAAGCTGAGATAGGTATTGTGATACAGCTAGGTAGCCATTAACAGCTGCCATCCATTCATATATCTGCCAATCACAACAGTCATACCCTGAATACTGTACTTTCTTCTAGTTTGGTGAAGCTTTCAGCCATATGGATGAGAGTGTCAAGACAAAGAGATGTATGATGAAATTGAGCAAACAGTTTTTCAAACAGTCTGATGAATGTGAGGTAGTTGGTTTTGGAATATCCCATCTGAGTTTCTGTAGAATGACAACCTCCATCCTGCAGAGATCTGATGATGTCCACTTGTTCCCATGTAAATATGCAAGTTCGTTGCCACTTGGAATTTCCTGAAATAGAGCGTTTTTATTTAGTTTCATGCCAATACCAAAAATATGATCATATAGTAAACTGACAAAACTAAAACTGCATGTTACAAGTAGTCCACAAACCTTTAATCAGGTACAATGTATAAATGGTCTCTTCTCACCTACCTACTTCAAGAAATGTATTTAGTTGTCTTAGGTTCAGCTGAGTCTAGAATACAGCAGGCACATAAATATTCACATTTCTGAGTTATGTCCGTTAGCTTGTAACACAAAACTCTTAGGATCTGAATACAACAACCCACAAAGCACTGGTACACACTTGTCAAAGATGGAAAGGGGACTGGTGGCCTCATTACAAGAATAAACTCATTCATTACCTCCTCTTCTAAATGCACTTTGGACGAAATGAAAAAACAAGCTGCTGCAACACATGATAGATACTTCTGTTGAACCTGTGGAAGAAAATATAATGCATCACTTCAAACACTGTCAGAACAAATAAAACAATTCACATGGAATGTTATATAGAGACATATACACAGATAATTTATTAAGTTGTACTGCACTTCAAACTTTGGGGCTTTGCAAGTTTGTTAAACTGTTTCAAGTATCTATAGATAACCTTTCTTTGGAAAAACACTCAAATTGTTATGGTAAAACATCTTAGCACTGATTAGAGGTTAAACCAGGAGACTTCAAGACCTATCATGACCGTGGTTGGTCAGGTGGCAACAGTCAAAGGATACTGAACATGCTGAAGAAAGCAACTTCATTCATATCCAGGGCCTATGTTTCATGGACTTTTACACTCAAACATAAATTACAAAATCATTACAATAAATCCTCAAAACAATTACAGTCTTTACAATTAGAGTACTTATACAAAATGTAAAATACATATTGTTCCTTTAAAATAGTTCAGACTTACTCGGACAAGAGACATAAAAGAGTCCAAGACACTGATGGATGTTGCAAACACATCACTAGTACCACCAAAGAACAAATGCAGACATCGAATAACAGTGACAGCTCTTAGTCTCAGATCCATGCCATGACCACTTGGAGCCAGTCTTTTCTGAAAGTACAAAATTCGATCATCATGAATCTGTCAAGTACATACAATTGACATTTTCATTCTTTCTACCGACAAAAGTAGTCATTCATTGTTTACTTCTTTCAGGCTGGTTGTTAAGGTTAAAAGGCTGGCTAAACTGGATCTGGCGATCAGACTCCATGATTTGCTTATTCAGTCTATAAAATTACCCACAAGTCTTAATCCTGAGTCTAAACCCCATTTAATTCATTAGAATTAGAACACTGGACCACCACTTAAAGGGCCACTGATCCAGAGCATTTTCCGTGGACTGGTTGTTGCTTTTGTTATTGTTTTTCTCCAGTGAGTACCCGGAAGATATCCCAGAATTCATGACTGGTTCGTTACCTCTGCTGCGCCACCCTCATGCGCAATTGATAGCATAAGTATAGACTGATCAACAAAGATGAAATCTTTTTTACTCGATAATCTTATGTTGATTTTGTTGTAAAATTATGAAGATTTTGATGAATAATTTGGTTTCTTATAAAAAATATATTCACTTTGATAAAAATGCTGATTTTGATGTAAACTTTGATTTCATAGTAATGTTGACTTTATAAAAATGTTAACATTTAAATGGATGTAGAATTTGATTAAGAAATAATTTGACCTTGAATTTGGTGAGAAGCCTGATATAATAGAATTGTTTTGAAACTAGGGCTAACTAAGTACATGGGGAATCTTCTGGGGAGAGTAGTGCGCTCAGGTTCACTACTAGTCAATATGAATGTTGTATTAAATGGCATTATGTTGATAACAAATGAAAACATTTTAAGTTTAACCATCTGCCATTAGTAAAAAATGTTAGGACTGAAATAGCGAAGTCAATGTACGTCTTTATAATCCTAGTTTATTATCATATTTGCATGCAGTTAGAAACTTAAAATATAATGCACACAATCTGGTAATACTTAGTGAATTCATAACATGACTGTAATATCTAGACATCTTATAGATTGCCACTGTGTATCATATTTCACACACACGCCCTAAGTGCGACCTAGTGTATGTTGTCTGTCTCATTGCACGTAGCAAAAAAAATGATTCTGTTGACTGCCTAACAAATAAATACAATCAAAATGCAAATATTAAAATTAAAACAGACTAAAGTTATAGCAACATTATCAGGCTATTACCTTGTTCAGTGAATGTATCCATCAATCAATTTTTCACATTGGTGTATAGTCCAATTGGTCACCCAAGATAGGACACCTGGCAACTACCATCAATGGTAGGTAGGTTCATTTGCCTCACGAATTGTGTTTAAAATAAATTTCATTACAATTGGAACCCCATCCTAAACCCCCACTCCCAAATCACAGTATTACCAAGGTTGGGGGATCCACAGGGAGTGTTTTCATTGCTTCTTGAAGTTTCCTGTATATGTCAGAAAACTGAAAAATGCAATATAAATAGAAACTACATAATATAAAATAATGATAAACACAAAGCAAGTATATCCAAAGGGTAATTTTAAATAAGCAGTATCTGAGACATTAATTGAAGCACAGGACCATTGCTTTACAAAGTTTATCACCCGACAAACGTATGAATCAACATCATCCAAAAAGCTTCAAGGAGAACATTTCCTGAAACTGAAAAAAGGCAGACGTTCTGACTCGAACAAAGATACATGACAAAAGGCGATAGGAATAAATCAATGAAAGTGATAGATCGAATGAGGAAGGATAATGGATATTACATATGTATTTCGTACCTTTTCCGACGACACCTGAGGCGAAATATTTAGTTGATTTAGCAATAAAGGACAATCATCCAGAGAAGGGTTGTTGTCGTCTGCAGGCGACTTCGCAGACGTAAACACCATCTCGTGTTTTGGTTTGATTTCTCTCTGGACGACCATTGTTCCTCTGTTCAAAAACAGCTACTTCTTTTCTTGCCCCTGCATATGAAGACTTTTCATCCAAGAAAGAAGACTATCAAAGTGTTCTTCGCTTATCTGCTAGAACACCCGCCTATACCACCATTGTCACTCAGCTGAGTTTGACAGCTCAAATCTTTCGAATCTTGGCGGCCGTCCAGCAAGTCAGTTAAGTTTGTAAAACCGGATTTCATTGGTTCCTATAAATAGAAAGTACAGTTGCTGCAGATGCTTCCCCGTCAGTGACGATGTTGATTGGCTTAGCGAGGACACCTTCTTAACACGACACTTTTGATTGGATGACCGAAAGATCTGCATAAAGCCCAAACAACCTTTATATCAACAAATCACAAACAGTAACATAACAAGCTCAATTATACCCATTTGGACAATTCACTTACATATGTGCAGTTTTCCTTGAATCTGAAATGTTAAGCTTCACTCGTTGTCCTTTGAGTCCGAAAGGCAATCACTGACAGTCGGTGAACGGGCACCTGCCAGTTTTGACAGCTCTGGGTCTAGTCACAGTATGACATCAATTCATTGTAACACTACGCAAAAAGTATAGTTCTGTCTGTAAATGCATTTACAGTGCATAACTGTTCCTATGCTTAATTGTTGGAGATATATACATATATACATATATGCTACTTCATTGAATGCAGTGTTTATTCGGAATATGAAACGGTACGTGACGCTTTGAACACCAGTGTAGGGATAAATAGTACGGTTTGTGATCTCCGGTCGAGATCTAAATTTAGAACACAAACGGAACGATCTGGAAAGTGGAATATCTTTCTCTTCATTTTAGTTTCGAAAACACAGAGCTATGGGGGTACAGAGACAATAAATGTAACGTAACCAACGTTTATGGACCAGGGAGCGTCCTTTCTTCCAAAACTGTCCCCAGGTCTTTGTCAGGTACGTAATATTTTGCATTTTCTTAGTTGTAGGGCCAGTCGGCTGATTTTGACAGTTCAGCGCTTTGTGACCTACATAGCGATTCGTTGGTTCATATCACAAATGTCCTGTTACTCAATGGTTTTTAGTCGATTGAATACACTAATTAACTTATATGATATGTCTTATATGACTTATGGACTAGGACTAATTTGGATTCCTATATATTAAAGCATTTTTCAGTATTTGCTTTCACAATTTCCAAAGGACTAGGAATTTCGTAATGGCGACGATGGATTTTCCCAAGGTCAATATCAGATTGAGCATTTTTAATATTTTCAATGTGTAATTTCACAATTGTGCACGTTTGTCATCACCAACAGATATTCTTGAACGTTATTAAACTATCTTTCACAACGTGTATGCAAACAGTAGGTATTGTGGTGTATGCTGTCATTTCCTGGGTGTGATGTATCCTGTTATGAGTGACGTCAAATTTAACAAGAAGTGATTTCGTTTGACTGGGTTGTGAAAAATTAGAATGCGTGGATTAGTGCAACTTGATAACAAGTTTCACTGTTTTTCTACAAATGTTATCATGGGATCACAAATCAACTTCGCGGTGCCATCGAGGTCTGTTCAACATGACACTCAATTTAGGCCAATTATGTTGTATGTTTGGTATTGTAAAAGGTTTTCTTTTTTACCTGTTCAGCATACATTCCATTTCCCCAAAAAATTGATCTGAAGATGTCAGCAATAATTGAAACACACTTTGACCCATATTTCTTTCATAATATTATACTGTGCTTCAGTTTGTTTAATTTTTTAGAACACTGACATATTTCTAGTTTTGGTATAATTGATACAGTAGAATAAGCCATCAATATTTGCTGAGCTCATTAACTCGTTCTAATAATCATGTGATAATGCTAGTCTCCCCCCCAAAACAAAGTATTACGGTATGTTTTTAAGTATTGAGTAATCATCTACTTGGACTAGATACATAGTTTTTGATGATTCAAATAATAATGTATTTGACTCGATGAGCTATTTAATATTTTGATGTTTTTCAGTATGTGACAGTTAATTTGTTTTGTCGAGCGTATGAAGACATGACTATGCTCTGTTACACTTCGAAACATATAAATTATTCACTGGAACCCTTCATGTATGTAATAGTAGAAAGTTTGTATCATTTGTAGTGTTAATCGGATGCCTGATATTAATCCTGATGTATTGACTGATCATAGCGAATGCTTCACCCCATAGTATGTATGGTTTCAGGTATCGTGGTGCATCGTGGGGGGAGGAGATGCTGCTTCACAGTGGTTTGGATGCTAGGCACCTTGTGCAGATGCTGGGGGAGGCCTTGAACAAAGAGCAGGAACAATGGAAACCAGTCTCATACAAAACATCTTCAGAGGTACACAATACTCAGAGAATGGCTCAATTTATCCTGCTTTCATTATCAAAATAATGGCCAATTTATGTAGGTTTTGTACCTTCTTTCAATACTCATTTGGAAGTACTTTATCATGGTTTTGGCTGACATTAAGATGATGTTCCTGCCAAGATGCAGATGAATGTATTTATTTAACTGTTAACCATGTTTTGATGAAACCCTGGTTGACTACTAGTAGGTATTGTGACTAGACCCCAGAGCTGTCAAAACTGACAGGGACTTTCTCCTTCAAAGTTCACCATTTGCCTTTTGGATTAAAGGTATTTGCTTCTTAATCTATTGAAAAAGATTTTTTGGAGTGTAATTTTTGCTGTGAAAATTGTGGAGCTCATAATATAGATTTTGTTTTAACTTAAAACATTTGTTGGTAGTTGAATTTAAGAATGGCAAATCTTTCACTGAAAATGTATCAACATCAGGATTTAAATATAGTCCTGTGTTAATGTAAAATAGGAAGGTTTAAGGTATTAATAAGTCTGCGAGAAATGATTATTAACATTTGAAGGGAGAGAAAATAATGTCTATGCCTGATGTAAAAAGAGTTGCATGAACATAATCTAATGGTAAACTAACATGTTTACGTAGCTGTTTGCATTTCAACCCAGTGTTGCTTTCTTTAGATAACACAAGGTCAAGTCTTATCCGAACTTGACATTAATTCCTGCCTGTGAACATGTCACATTGCTGGATTTTTGCCCATATTTGGTTTGTTTTATGAAAGTAATGGAGCACTAGTTAGTGTTATAGTTTCCTTATTTAAACAGTGTAACATTGAACCGAGGTAAAGATTCATATGAAGATATAAATATTGGTACATTTCATTAAATATGATTAATTAGAACAGTTCCTCAGTTAAGAAATACAAATTTGACAACTGACAATTAAAATGGACAGTATTCATTAGCACTCGTGCTGTGTAGTATGTATTTTTGTAGGCTTCATTGACAGCTGCTCTCATTCATAAACACTCAATTGATTTCCCTCTGGGGTCACCACCAGGTCATGTTGCATGGCATACCAACTAGTAATTGACTGTTATGCTGTTCTCAAAAAAAAGAGAAAATTTCTTTGTTAGCTGAGATTATTGTTGAGTCATTATCAGATGGTATATCTTTCTTTCTATTGTCCATATTTAAGCAGCAGCATGGAAAGCACAGTGCAAGAGTTTAGATAGGTTCATGTTTGGACAATGACAATGAGAACTAACAATATGGCTTATAGAAGTGACTTGTATTTCACTGATCTGATCAATTCAAGCAACATAAAAAGATTATCAGATTGCCTACCAAGACTATTTGCGTATGAAACCTAGATAATACCTGGGTATTCCCCTAACATTTCCCTTGTTTTCATGGAGATAATGTATACTACTCAAAATATGTTGAGGACCACTCAGCTTTTTCTTGTTACTATTGTTAATCAGTCTTGTCAGTAATGTTTTTTTGAGAAGCATTGTTTAGCTCACCAAGCACAATATAGTGTTTTTAAATTGGTTGGTTTTGTGTTGGAATTTTACTGTAAAACATGTCCTGGTACAGGTAAAAAAATGAATATTTCATGTGGAATCACCTAACTGATTAGGTTACATTAAGTCATCAGATACTATTCTAAATTTGTTCTCCAAAACGTAACTACATTGCAATGGCCATTTCTTGAGTTACACATCAACTACACATAGTTAAATTAAGTCAAACCAAGGATACTTGTTATACATGCTTTTTAGACCAGAAGAATGGTACCTGGGTGTTCTGTGGAAAGTCTTTTTTTGTCACGGTCTTTAAACGTGATATAAGGGACCTGTTCAGATACATTGTAAGCCCCCTTCCCAAGTATGCTTACTAACCTTCCTCCCTGTTCATTTCAAGTCTACCTTTCTGTGCTGAAATAGGATTGGATTATTGCATATAGTGATGGTGCAGTCACATGTTCACTACCACTGCTTCTTGAATTTGTTCTGAAAATATTCCCAAAGTATGGCTGATAAAACAAAGACATTTGTACGTTGCAGGAGCTGGGTGGAGGGCATAGAGATGAGAAGGCATCATGGTTGGTGTTCCTCAACTCTAAGTTTCACTTCATGCCAGAAACTTTCAACTTGGCTGTATCCATTCTGGACAGGTTCCTTCAACTTGTTAAGGTAAGTTGCAGATTAATAAAACCTCAATAACATTAGTTCCATCCAACTACATGTCATGGAAAATTTTGATGTTAGATTTTCCACATGAATTATTTCAATAGTTAATCTTAAGTCCAGAGAGGCAACTTAATCTTATGTTAATTTTGTTGCACTTGTGCAGTGATAAATTGTTCAGTCAAGTGTATTTCCATATCCATTTGCTCTTCATTTCATGTTATACATTAAAAGAAGTCTGTATTTGACCTTTTTCACAGTATAGTAAACTTGATTTTGTAGGAAGTGTTTGTTGAAACATAAGTTTAGAGTTAAAGTGTTGTAATGATGTTTGTAGTGTTGTAATGATGTTTGTTTATGTCCAGGTTCGCCCCAAGTATCTGCACTGTGTGTCAGTCAGCTGTTTCTATATAGCTGCCAAAACACTGGAAGAAGATGAGGTTAGTGTCATGTCTGCAGCTGGCTTATTTATGCTCAGGTCAAAGTGCTCTGTTTCTTAATAACTGAAATATGTCTTGCCTTCATACATTGACATTTTTTAAAATATTGTTTGTTGGAAAAGAATTGTTTGTTTTGTATTTTGTAGAACAAAGTGTTAAGATTTTAGAAAAACAAGCATAACAATCTGTATATGTACTGTTTGTAACTGCTCCTTATAACATAATGACTACTAGATCTCTTGACTGTGAAAACATTATGCAGCCAGCTAGTGGCTGCCAGGTTGTGTTGAACTAACGAGTGACGTGATGTTACAGATGATCCCCAGCACCCTGGATCTTGTGAGGCAAAGTGAGTGTGGCTGTTCCGTTTCGGAGGTTCTCCGTATGGAAGCAATAATTCTCAACAAGCTTGGGTGGAACCCAAAGCATGTCACAGCCATCAACTTTCTTCACATTGTAAGTTTCAATTTGAATATTCCACTCATATGAAGCCCCAGTTGGGACTGTAAACAGTTGTTGCCAATGTGGTGAAGAGTAAATTCTATTTCAAACAAACTTGTTAAGTCAGTGGGCAAAGATTTTTGCGATTAGGTCAGTGATGTATCAAGATATCTGGTGATTTTTAAACTTGTTAACATGTTGACTGCATACCACGAATTTACTTGTGTTAACAAATGTAACAGAATTTGCTACCACAGGTTATCTCATAGCTATATCAGAGGTATTTTAAAACAAATTTCACATTTTGGCAATATAACCACAAGAAGCAATTGTCTCCTTGCGCAAGGAGACGATTGCTTCTTGTGGCTATTTTGCCAGTATGTGAAAAGTATTTAAAATACCTCTGATGTAGTTACAAGATAACTCATGGTAGGAAATTCTGTTACATTTGTTAAACACAAGTATACTCGTGGTAGGCAGTCAACATGTTTAAATGATGGATTGTGTCCTGGGCTGAAATGACCAACAGTCAACTGCCTTGTAAATGTCACAATAATAGGACTTACTGAAGCACCATCAAACCCATTGAGTCATCTTTCCATAATGTTACATGCCAATAGTGGAAACCCAAACCAATTTAGAAGTACAAAACTGAGAGCACCCGTCTTGAGAATCACTCAGTTTGTTTTAATAACTCTACAGTTATTGTAAATGTATTAATCTAAAATCAATTCCATTGATTTAATCACCCAAGTGCATTATTCTAGAAATGCACACGGCAGAAATTCTGATGTAACCAACTCTCATTTATGACTTACTCAGTTACGTAGTGTCGTCTGTCAGTAGCAGAGAAACCTTCTGCCTTAAGTGTTGGTGAGAGGTGACACTGACAGTGGTGTTACCTAGTAAATCTACACTGGATTGTCAGTCATTATTTACACTGTCATCATATGATATAGATGGAATGTTGGAGTGCAGCAGGTTGCATAACAAGTTCGTTTGTTGTTGTGTTATGTTTGTGATCTCAGCATGGTCGTATCATGTTTGTATCTTTGACAGATCCATGCCGTGTTGATGAGACATCACCCCCACCTGTTGGACAGTCTGATACAGATGACCCCCTCAAGTCACATGACCATTCTTACACGCAAACTGTTTGCGTGTCTATGCTGCCACCATCTGCTTACCTTCCGACCCGTGAGCCTCGTTTTGGCTCTTATCAGTTTGGAAATTGAGCAGATAACGTCAGCATGGCTGCCTAGCATCATTTTGCTGCAGAAGATGACCAAGGTGAGTAAGTTGTGCATTGTGCTCATATATTTATTGGACCGGTGTTTTGGGGGTCATAACTTGTCTGGTGATAATTTGCATTTCTTCCTGACCTCTAATTGATCAAAGATCACATGTAATAAGATTACCAAAGCAAATTGTGATTTTGCAATGATTTCATTGTTCTGGTTCGTCTCTTTTTAGGTTGATAGTCAAGATCTCATTCGTTGTCGAGAGGTTGTAGCCCAATTCCTCGAGCATCGCCGCCAAAGAGTCACTTCGTACAAGTTCAAGCCTGCGCCTGTGAGAAACAAGTCCAAGAAGCGCAAGGTGGCTCCTAGCAGCAGTGATGAGGAAGAGGAGTTCTATGATGGATTCAAGCGTCTTTACAACGAAGAATCCTGCTCTTTTTGATAAACCAATGAGGGGCTCATGTGGGTCAGAGATGCACCAGGATACTGATGGAGAACTGTATCCTCAAGTACAGACTATCTGTGCAAATTAGCAATCATAGATACCTGTGCAAATACACACATAGTCTATTTGTGCAAGGTTGTTTATGGTGTTTGTGTGGAAGCTGAAACATTCTTCACAAACTTCTTAGCAAATGTTTTGGCAAGAAGATGACACGAGCTGTCACATACTTGACGAGCAAGTGATGTGGATGCTCATTGTTAATCTTCCTCTGCTGAACACCTGAAGTTTGCACATTTAGTGTTGTCTTAGTTGTTGTCGAGGCAGAAAGTATTCCTCTTTGTGTAACATTAATGGTCTTGTTCCAAGCACAGTTTATTGACTATTTTATTACTGCAAGCAGTCTTGTATGGTGGTTTAATATGTTTTACAGGTTTTATGATTATCTTACCTCCATCTTGAAAGCTTTAATTTTAATGCGTAAGGAGATTTGGCATAATCTCATACCAATGTGAGAACAGTTTTATTTTGAGTCTTTGAAAATTGAAGTTGGTTGTTTTACATTAGGTTAAGCCACCATATAAAAAAATGTTCTAATTTTCATGTATGCTAAATCTGAACCTGACCACTGACATAATCACTAAATATCAGTAACCAACAGTGCAAGGTCAGTAAAAATGAAACAAATTCTTTGAAAAAGAAAAAAAAAGTACAAAGAAAGAAACACATGAAAAAAGTCAATTGTCTTTCATTGTCATTGTGTATCTCGTACTATATTAGTCCTGTTGTTAAGTTGAAACTCTACTCGCTGTAGAATAACAGACATTCTTTGCTTTTGAAACAAACAAACGTTTATGTGGGAAGCCATGTTGCATCAAAAGGCAGCAGAGAGTTTTGTGTCAACACCTGAGATCCATGGTGTTGTGGACCAGTCGAAGTATTCAGTTGTATAGGCTGTACATATTATGCTTGATGGACCCCAGAAATGCTTGTTTTCATAGGGAAAAGGACATTCAGTGTTTGGCCATATAGTGTTGTATATAGTTTTGTTATTGGTTTGGCCATTTTACATTAGGAAAAAATAGTACTTGTTATTAACAGAACTATTTGTTGGCGATGCAGATACCTGAAGCAAATTTACTGGCTATCAGATTATCATCAGCAGTTGGATAATCTAACAAGAAAAATGTACATACTAATTATCTGAATAATATGTTGATATTTATGATACTCATGGTCATTTGTGACATGATCAATGTCAAATGAATCCATGACTTAAAAATCCCAGTAAAACAAGCATTTCTGTTGTCAAAATAATCTTATAGTAATATATTGTGAAAAGCTGTAAGTATAGAAGCCATTTTGATACTTCATGAACGGTTAATGACTGAGCCTGAGTCAAACAAAATGTATATGATGGTGTCATTGTAATATATCATGAGTGTGTGCACGACTAACAGAGCTCAACTCCGGTCCTGCTCAGGGTGAAGGTCAGGACTTGGGTTGTCAATCATTCTTGACTGGTCAGAAAAGTTCTCCTGGTGAGACTGCAAACCCATGTGATTCACATCAACCTTGGGCAATATCATCTATTTATTCCCCCTAAAACTCTGGCGAAGTTCCTTATTTCTGAAATTCCCCTATGTACATCATGTAAAATACCTTCATTGCACTTTCCACATTGTAAATTTCATCACAATTCATTTCATTATGTAAAAAATATCAGTTCAGCCTTTTTGATATTCTTCATAAATCAGTTTGCAACATTGTACCTGTTAAGTAGTAGATCCAACTGCATACAATCAAACTAGGGTACTGCAAGTTGAGCTGGCTGAAGCGAGTTGAGCTCTAGTTGGTTATTCAAGACAGAACGAGTCCCAACTCCAGGAACATCTTCAAGAACAAACTGTATTGTCATTTCTATGGTGCTCTTGTGATGAACAGTGAAACCTGCTTTAAAGTAAAGCTAACAGAAGTAAGTCTGCTTGGACACACCTGGTTTATAGGACACAATTCTGTGTGAGACACTGTGAATGAACCTTGAATGCTTGTGGTCTGTCATCTACATGTAGTTCACATTGATGTCTCATTCACCAGGCAAGAGCTAGTTCTTTTGTTTTATTTTATATCTACGTTAAATCCTTTCTGCAGGGAATGTTTGAGGTGATGCTTTGGAGTGAAGTTTGGACTGAATTTCTAAACTAAGACATTGCCACTGTCATCTTCACATGCTGTTTATTAATCTTGAAAAAAATCTTTTCTTTTTTTTTTGGTTTTAGTCTGAAGTCTTTTGTTATCATCTGGAGTTTCTTTTGTTTTTCTGTGTTGTTGATTTATCATGTCAACAGTTATATTTGAGTTTATTCCATGTGTACCCAGTATTTCTTAACACTGTTCTTTGTTATGTTCACTTTGTCTGTTATCTGAAGTTAGGCAGGTTTCACTGTAACTGAGATTTCCGCATCTAACCAGGTTTCCATTGTAAGCAATTTGGTTACAATCTGTGGGCTGTATCAGAATGGAAGGATGAGCTTGTGCCCCACCCTCCCCAGGTAAGGGGGGCGTTCAATGGTGGCTGTATGGTGTCTGATGTCAAGCATGAATGATCTGCTGTACCAACAGCATGGCGAGATTAAATGACATCAAAACTAGAAGTTCTTCATTTGTTTTTGTTTCAATGGGAACCCAGTGTTTTTCTGTTGGCTGTCGTTGAGGAGCACAGTGGTACCATGTTTCATTTTTCCATGAGGCAGTACATTGTAATTGCAACATGTAGATTCTGATTGGAAATTGGAAGCAGATAATTTGAATTGTCCTTGACAGGGTTGATAACACATGTCATTGTATACAATGACGAAGGTTGATACTCATGTCAGTCACTGGATTGTCTGATCGAGACTTTACAAACCACCGTCAGTTAGTGACATGTTGCTGAAGGTGGTATCTCACAGACAAGCAGTTACCTTTATGCAATAAGGACAGGAAAAGAAAACTGTTTATAAACCAAACAACTGGCTTCTGTTGGCAAATATGAACACAAGATTTGTAGTAGATACGAGGCCCATTATTTTAGGGGATGGGAGGTTGCAAGCATATTCACCTGCTTAAAATACAATCCTACTCTTACACAAAAATGTTCATGAACCTTTTTGTTCAAGATGCATTGTTCCCACACAGCCCAGGACTAAATGGTCAACGGAACGTATTGTCATTAAGAATGCATTGCTGGCTCGTGAGGTTTTAACACGGTTTGGGTACAATGTGTGAAGCACATTGCTGTTGTCTCCCGCCGTGATATTAATGGAATATTGCTAAAGGCGTCCTAAAACTAAACTCGCGCATAACACGGTTATATTCACAAGTGAGTAAAGTAAACTGTTTCAGAAGTGCTACGTTCTCTACCAGCTGTTACTGGTATTGCGCGGCTTGAAACATGTTGCTTGAGCATTTATGACTGATGTGCTACTGGTCAAGGACAGTTGAATAGGATGATAAATAAGAAAGACCTATTTGGCTCACAACAAAAGTATCTCATCTCATTTCTACTTAACAGGATTTTCACTGTGCATGCTTAATGATTACGTGATCTCGAATAGTCTACCTTTTGTCAGTATTTACAAGCATACCTAAATGCTGACGTACATTTTACAGAACATATTTCGTAGCAAGCCTTGCCTCGAATGAGGCAACTTGTGTTTTGTTAACATGGTTAGCGACTGGCCGACTTTCCTGCTGTCTCCTGTTAGCTCTTACTCGGGGAGAAATAGGTCGCGCACAAATCTAAGCCAGCGTTGATTACACTACTCCGATACGCAGTTGACAAAAGTTCTACCAATAAAATCAAACTTGTGAATAACAATAGAATCCTTTGTAATTCGACGATACACTTTTGTGTAATAGCAAGCTGTTTTTTTTATGGATTTATCGAAACAATGAAGATGTACATGTTGGGGCATCGAGACAATGTTTGCCCCCATACATGTGTGGACCCTCGTGAAAGACTGACATTTTTCAAGGAGTACAGACCAACTGTATATATTTAGGCGAGTAGGACAGGATTTTGATGATACAAACCAACTGACCTTGGGACTTCATAAAGGTCACGTTGACATTGGCCAGTATGTGTCACACATCTCTCTCCACCCCTCCCACACACACTTACTGTTATCATCGAATATGAAAAACATCTCCCCGAATACTGAAAATATTTTATCATATAAAGTGGAATTTCATTTTTAACATTTGAAAATGGCCGCTGCAGCAAGACAAGTAATTTGAAGTCAAAGCCCTCTTCACACAAGAATGCACAGTGAATTAAACATGTTGAGAGGTCCTCTATACAAAGCCACCATTTATTCATAAAGAATGGCAGCTGTCGGAGACATCTGAAATCCATTGTATATGTATATGAGCATCTATCACGTGAGTTTGTCATGCTTAATAAATAGGCCGTCATAGATTAGGTCATGCATGGTCATTTTCACTTTGGGCATTTTGCTGAGATATTCAGCAGTATCTGAGGCTCTGCACACATACATGCAGGCATGGGGCATTTCTCGCTATATAACTGTAGGAACGCAGTTTCACGGTGCTTATTTTGCTAGATATCTTCAATGTACCTTGAATATGTAAATATATTTTGCATATGCTACGTATTTGGCGTGGTCATACGAACTCTTAAAACAATAATATACGTGTGAAGGTTTCTCAGGATACTTATAAGACGTTGTGTCGACACGATACCAGGATTCTGATCCCTTGACAAATGCGAAGAGTTCCCCTGTCTGGTGAGGATGAATGCTATGACGCTCGTCCAAGTGACCATCACAATCAGATACCATCTGATAACTAAAAAAAAAAGCACTGTCGGAAATAGAAAAAAACCTGTTTTTAGGCTGTTACTCTGTATCCCTAAAATTTACACAATTGCAAATAGCATATGTCGAAATAACCCACTTCGGCCTAACTGGGCGTTCAGTGAGATGCGTAATACGATATCCAGAAAAGCATGTTTACTCGTAAAATCGGGCAAAACTTAGAAAAATACGAATAGCTGCTGAAAACAATAGATCAGACTATAGATGGCAATAAGGTCGCACAGCCAGGTATGACGACGGACCGTCGACTCACCTGGCATGAAATGCACGTGCTGCCTACAGGCACAAGGGGTCATCTCAAAGATATTTTGTGCTTTTTCATGTGTGTTGACCATGTCTCATCTATTGATTAACATCTTTCGTGTCTTTCTTTCATATAGTTTCATATAGTTTATGTTGAGATATGTAAAAGATTATGATACCCGAAAACCATAGAAACGCATCGTAGTATATAGGTGGCATGACCACCCGAAGATCGACAGGACTGGATATTATTTGTAAATTGTAATGACGTGCCGTGTACCTCCCCAGTATAATTGCCCTAAAGGATTATCTTATCTTAGCTGATATCTCTATCCCCAAGCCCGACCCCAGGTTTTGCTTTTGAGACGGCCCCTCCTATCTGTTTCTTTTTATAGTGACAGTGAGACTGCATGGTAGCTACATCCTTAATAGTTTCGGCATAAAAGTTATTATTTTTTACGTCAGCTATCGTTTATAATGAATCTACGTCTAATTTCAAATTGGGCATTAAAAAAAGTGTCCTTTGTAATGCAATATCGCCGCACACTAATTTGCATAAAGCCATGGTCTGTTCCAAATAAGTCTTTTTTATAACCGCATTGCTCATTTCTGCACTAATTTCCCCTCAGTAAAGTCCTTTTTCTCCGTTTCCTATCTCTGTACCACCGAGACTGTAGTTAGGCCGAACTTAGTTTAACAGATATTTCACACTTTCACATATCAACTACATAAATTGTAGAGATAAATGAGAAAATACAGGGGTTTTTTCTAGTTCCGACAGTACTATAATACTTATTTAGTGCCTTCATATGGTCCAGGAAACAATTCAATGTAATTTTGGAAAAAAAGCGCCTACTTTCCAGTAACGATTAACACAATGAAAGATTATGTCGATGAACACTTGGGAGTAACTGTCCTAAAAGTCATCAGACACTGAACAAGGGTTTCGAAAGAAAAAAACTGAAAAGGTGAAAAGCAGTTTGCTTCGTACATACACACCGGGGACCCGTTCCTCAAGCGATCGTAGCACTACGACAGTCGTAAGTCTATGTTACAGTATGAGTATGGGAGTTACGATCACCTTAGCGCTACGATCGCTTTCAGGAACGGGGCCCTGGACTCTACCGCCCCCATGCCGATCATTGTCCAGAGTTACTGCCTATAGGCATATCGCTCGCTATTACGTCGACAACCTCGTTTTCTGCCGTCAGGGAATGGGAGGCAACACTTTGATTCGTCTGTATAAACATTGAGTAACTTAACGGGTGGACAGCCTGTCCCAAGCGTTGCTTTTAGCCCACTCAAATCTTTGGGAAGCAGAATCTCACTCAGGACGCTTTTCACTCAGGCGGCATGCACAGGGCCGGAATGTGACGTGTTTTGAAATTCGCCTTCCTGTTGATGTACGGGTTCTCTGTTGATAACAGAAGCAGGTTGGAATCTATTGCGTAGTGCAAGGCTATCTGGTCGAGAAGTAACCCAGGTAGAAGGTACTTATCTCACGGTCGAGAAATTGCACTTTTAGATTTACCAACCATTCCGGCGACTTGGAATATTGACGCTCCCTCTTCAATCGAAACTGTTGTCAGTATCCGAGGCATTTTTAGCCCTAGTTTAGCTACGCTGCATTGGTGTTTTGGGGGCGGAGAGTTTGGCTTTTGTGTCCACGTGCATCGCGTGCTATTCATGCATGACGTGAAGTGTCATTGTGATTACATGTTGCATTCCTATGTATATGTTAAATGAACACCTGAACAATAGCCGCATTCTAATCAATAGTTCCAATAAGTTTCGTCTGTATATCTATTTGTATGAAGGTAACTGCGCACATGCGGGTTAGACGGCTGACTGATGATACAACATTGACGTAGTTGTTATCGTGCACATTGGCGGTGTAGAACACTATGATTACTTTATTTCCGACCATGCAGGAACTACGGCAATAACAGATGTCTATATTAGCCTTACCATATTACTTTAAAGAAAAGAAAAGTTTCACGAAAAACGTACGATTTCGAAAGAGGGTTTTTTACACAGTGCAGTTAAGAATAACGGATGCCGTCTTCTATCTTTGTGTAATTTACAATGACATATTTACTTACATCAAGAATCCGGTATGCTACTCTTTTATAGCCAAGTTTGTTCATGCAATGCCGATCAACATGGGTAAATGATATTAAAGTGATTGATATTCCCGATACCACGAGCATTTCATAACCCTAGTAGCCAAATATTTCACGTGCATTTATCAGTGTCGGCGTCCTGGTGTCTGTAGTAATGCGTTGTATATGTTTAAACCGACCACCTGGCACGTCATTGAACATGCTCATGTCTCGTGCCCGTTTGCGCCTAGCCTGGCTTTGAAATGCCACCTGACGTTGTGTTGATAATCTGCGCGAATATCCGTGTCTTCGTAACAGTTGGTAGAACTGGTCAAACCATGATTACTCACTTACCAGGGTTCCGTGGGCGAGGTCTGACGCCCTAACATCGCCATGGCAGTAGAACAGATCAGCCAAGGTATTATAACT